CTCGAACTTTACAAGCTTCCATAGATTAACTTAGAATAATTACAAACCTCTAATCTCTTTTGTTTACTTACTTTGAATCTAATTATAAACTAGTACCATTGATTGAGTTTTATTCCTTGTGGGACGATACATGTTACTCGTCACGTAGTACTTGTCAACGATCCCTACGCTTGTGGGTTTCACACGAACAACTAATATGACTCATTTCGCTACTTTAAATGGTGATACTCCATACGAGATTTGGTATGGTAAATGTGCTGATTATTCTATGCTTATGACCTTTAACTGTGTTTCTTTCTCTCATCATAGTGAGGGAAAATCAGAATCTAGAGATAAAAAGCGTGTCTTCATAGGCTACATTTGAAGAAGTTAAGGGATATAGGTTATATGATAGAAGCTAGAAAGGCGTGAGAATAATCATAAGTTGCGATGTCACATTTAATGAGTTTGAGATGGCTTGCAAAGAGAGTGAAGAACAATAAGAAACTTTTAGGGAAGAATCTCATGTTGAGGTGAGAAGTGTGAGTATCCACATCTCCATTATCTCAAGTGAGATGGATATTAATACATAAAATCAACAAAATATTGAGCTAGAAGGTGATGAGGGAGTTATTGAGGGCAATCATATCGATCAAAACCCTCTAACTGATTATCAATTAGTTAGAGATAGAGAAAGAAGACCACATAGAGAACCCTAAAGGATGTGTGACTATACCATAGCCTATACTAGTTATCAAGAACTAGTTGATAAAGAGCAAAATACCTATGAGGAGTGAAAAAAGCGAGGAGTGGCTAGGTGCCATGAGAGAAGAAATGAGTTCTCTTGCCAAGAATCAAACTTGAGATTTAGTTTCTAGACCTAAGGATAAATTCATAGTTGAATGCAAATAGGTTTATAAAATTAAGAAGGGAACCACTGAGAGTGAGCCTATGAAATACAAGGCTAGATTAATAGCCAAGGGGTATACGCAGAAGAAATTGATAGATTATAATGAGATCTTTTTGCCAGTTGTTAAGTGTTAGGACTTAAGTTATATTAACAATTCTTTACACAAAATGATTATTATATATATAAAAAAAGAATTATTATAAAAAAGTTGTAAAAGTCAATGAGTCTTTTGGGGTGTTATATAGATGAATTAGGAGTCTTTGGGTTCGAGTATGGAACATGTTGAAAGAGTTGCCGATTTTACACTAGCATGTCGCCTAGTTGATACTCGAGCGAAAAAAGCAGAATAATTGTCGCCCCTGTCTCCAACTCTCGCTTGAACGACGCACTTATCGCTAGCCTAGCACTCGAGCAACGGCATTTTTCGAAAAATCCTAGTTCGCGTTTTTCAAGAGTTCTATCTATCCTATTCTATCCAAAGACTTCCTATTATAAATACCCAATGCTCATTACGTTTTTGTGAGTGGTTGATCATTATAATACATTCTCATAACATCATTCCAAGATCTAAGAACATATCCAACATTAAGATTAAACATTTCATTTCTGAGATCAATCAACCACAAGTTAAGAAAAATATCAAATTCAAATAATCCAAAATACCAACTTCCTATATATAATCAGGAATGTGCTTTTTCAATAACTTTACTACTCCGGTTGCATCCATCGCAAATGCCTTCTACGTGAGTGGGCGGTTTCCTTAGTGGTTTTGACTTTTGAGTGAGATTCTTGGTTCTTTCTTATGGAGCTGCTTAGTGTGTTATTGGGTTATTGATCTGAATCATGTCCAATTCATTTTGTTGCCAGTCTTTGTGAAATTGGAAAGGGGAAGTGTTTATCTATAATTCACAGTTTTAATTCCATTGTTATTAATTAATTTGGAACTCACTTAGGCCCTGTCTCTTTGTGATTGAAATCACAATTTCAACCGTTGGAGCTGCCATTGTGGACCTTGTTGTGTAATGTGGCCCCCACAATTTTGACAAAAAATGGTACAAAAATCGATTCCAAGCTGCTTTTAATTTTTGCCAGATAGGTTCTTAGTGTTTGTTTGATCAATTGAATGTTTTACTTTCTTTACAACATGGTATCTTTTTTACCTTAGTAATTTGCACAAGTCGAACTTGTTTGAACCCCATTTTTGGCTAAGAATGCATTTTGAAATAGTATATTGATAGAGAATGTGTGATTAAAAAATAAGGAAAAAAATTTGGATGTACGTATAATATTATTTTTATTGATGAATATATGATTGAAAAGAAGAGAGGGAAAATTATATTTTAAAAACAATGAGAATCAAACAAGGGTAATTGTAAAAAATCTTTGCTTAGTGTCCCATTTCAAAGGTTTACACTCTCACTCTTCATTCTTGCTCTTCTTATTTTATCTCGAGAACCTTGAAATTGGTTAATGGACTCCGTCACCATTGCGTAATATCGCTGATTAATATGATCATGTCTTGTTTCAAGCAAAGTATTTGAATTTCGAATAGTGCTTACGACTGTTTTGATATCTCGAATCAGGTTACCTCTTTAACCTTTTTCATGCCATTGGAAGCTACTAATTTTTCCAACCTTTTCCTACTTCTTTCAAAATGCATATTATTTAAATATTATCTTCAGCAATGATGAATTCAACGAATGTGTTGATGGAAAGGTCGATGCCCAGAGATATGAGAGCCTTATGACAAATTATGTATCAGACCTTTGATAAATAGTTTTAAAACCTTTGACTGGAAAACACTAATTGATCGCCCATACATTCTATTACATATATTAGGACTGGTGATGGGCATTCGTAAAGATTGAGATTTGAATATCTTACCGTGATTTCAAAATAAAAAATACGAGCACGTTTGTAGAATCTCTACGTATTAGTACTAAAATTGTAAGATTTTAAATAATAATAATAATAATTAATTAATTAATAGTACTATTCATGACTAATCTTTCCCAAGCATTTTAAAGAGATTCTCTAAATATAAAAGGTACTTTATATTTTAAAGATATAAGATTTAAAAATAAAATAATTCTGAGAGAGGAGAGTAAAAAAAAAATAGATTTTTTATTTTTATTTTATAATGAATGTATTTAGGGCCAGTTTGATTCTCACTATTATAAAATGAGAATGAAAAATATAATCGTTATTGAGCCCCACACAAGTGATATAAATTCAAAATTGATAACTTAATGTAATGGATAACAATCATATTTTTCATTTTTTATGGATGAGAAAAGAGAAACAAACGAGGGCTTAATAAACTATAGATTTAATACTCTATTTCTTAAATTATTCAAATTAGATTTGAATTGATTGACCATGAATATAAAATGTTGCGTTAAATAAAAGATGATGAATAATCAATAAATATTTTTTTAAAAAATAAATAAAGAGTCAAATAAATAACGATTTTGCTACCGGTACATCAAGGTGTACATCGGCGTGTACATCACACTCACATGGGGGGTGGTTTAAGACTCTCTCCTCTCATTTTTTTAAAATAGATTTTTTATTTTTATTTTATAATGAATGTATTTAGGGCCAGTTTGATTCTCACTATTATAAAATGAAAATAAAAAATATAATCGTTATTGAGCCCCACACAAGTGATATAAATTCAAAATTGATAGCTTAATGTGATGGATAACAGTCATATTTTTCATTTTTTATGGATGAGAAAAGAGAAACAAACGAGGGCTTAATAAACTATAGATTTAATACTCTATTTCTTAAATTATTCAAATTAGATTTGAATTGATTGACTATGGATATAACGATTTTGTTATCGGTACATCAAGGTGTACATCGGCGTGTACATCACACTCACATGGGGGGTGGGACCAGTTTGAATAAAAAAATATTTTATACAAGTGGATCACACTCCTATGTGAGTGTGATGTACACCTTGATGTACACTTCTTGATGTACAAGTAACATTTTTGTGTGAAGATTGCCA